GGGAGTAGAGGGAGAGAGGGAGGGAGGGAGAGAGAGAGAGAGAGAGAGGGAGAGAGGGAGGGAGGGAGGGAAGGAGGTAGAGAGGGAGAGGGAGGGAGAAAGAGAGAGAGAAAGAAGAGAGAACAGAATGAGTAAAATGAAGGAGGAAGTGGATGTGTGAGAGAGATACTTTTTTAATCTACATTTTCACTACATACAGTATAGTATATACACACACATACATGTACATGTACATGCACCTGCGTAAACTTGTACATGTACATATACTCATACTCATACAGGACATGTACGTGTATATGCACAAGAAAGGGTGTCCAATAAGGAAACCACATTCCAAATTTTAACAGTAAACACCTTGATCGCCTTCCGGGCTTGCCAAAAGCTAGTAGAATCACCACCATATAGTGTTGGCCATTCTTTATTCATCTTCTCAGTGAGGTCCTATGACATACACATGTAGGGAGAAGGGGGAACCTTACTCCATCAATTCAACTCAATATGAATACAATAACATGCACACATCTGCCTGCATATACTTTTACATGTACATCTCTGTACTTGTACATGTACATGTGTATATTATGTTCATTGCTGGTTTTTCTTGGTTTTTATAGAATGCTATTGATAGTACCATATCTGAAGTCATCCCTTGTGTGTTCATAGCGACCAAGACTGATCTACCAACAGTAGAACAAGTAAACCAAGAGAAAGAGACTATAATACTGCATTTACACTAGCTTTTTTAACTGAGCCAGCCCTGTTTAACGTGGGCCAGTACAGTTTCATTTGATAGTGTAAACACTAACCAAACCAAGCTGAAGTGAGCTGGGCCAAAGCAGGCCAGCATGGTTAGTACAGCAGGGCCAGCTCATCCTGGCTCAGCACGGTTTGGCCCACTCCTGTAGTGTGTGAACGCAGCATAATGTCCTCTCTCTTTACCTCTCTACTCTCTTCCCTCCCTCTCTATTAAGGTTGGAGAGCTTCAGCCGAATGAGTTTTGTCACGATGTAGACCTTCCTCCTCCATTATCAGTCTGCCTTCCATTGCCTGATTCATACACACAGGCGTATGCCAGACTAGCAGCTGTTTCATTAGACCCGTAAGACAAATTAAATATTATTATTAACTATTAAGCTCTATATGGAGGAGCCTAGTAGATGTACATGTAAATGTATGTGTATCATTTTGCACTCAATTTAGTCAATTAATGTATCAACAAATTAACATTTATTGGTACACATTCTAACATGACTTGTTAGTACCTTGTTTATCCATTGAGGTCATAAAAGGTTAATGTATTTTTAATCTCTTCTTCTTAAAGGTCACAGAACCTACCCTCTAGTTTTCGTATTCCTCGCTGGCTCAAGATGGCCAGTCTCGGGGTCTTGGTGACAGCTGGTCTTGGCTCACTGTTAGTGTTTCTATTAGTTAGAATGAGACGAAGTGGCGGGAACAGGTTTTCATTATAAATTATTATACGTAAACGTGTGTAGTAGTATTTAATAATGATTATAATTATATTGATCTAATAATAATAATAATAATAATATTGAGATAATAAGTTTTCATGTCATTTCTTTCTTTATTTCTCTCTCTTTGTCTTTTATCATCTTTTTCTTGGCACTAATTATTATATTGAGTGAATTTTTCTTCTGCTCGTGTAGACTAAAATGTAATATTAACAGGTTATTTACACTAGCCAGCTGTGCCAAGAGTAATTGGCATTATGATAATGATGCATGCACGTGTGTGGTCATCGAAAGTGTATGTACATGTACATCTAAAATGAAAAGAAGTAAAAAATGTAAAAAGAAGAAGCGTAGTAACTAATTATGTCACATCTGCCAATAGTATGGTTTTATTTCTTTTGATTTTTGGCATCACATCGTCTAATTTTACTCCTTTTTGCTTATAGGCTACTATTAATGTTTGTCTTCTCTTTGCTTTCATTAGTATCTTCTTAAGAATTTAATCAGTAGATGTGTATGTGTGTGTGTGTGTGTGTGTGTGTGTGTGTGTGTGTGTGTGTGTGTTAAGACTAGTGTGTTTGTTTCTTGCCCAATTCCTTACGTGAATTGTTAATGAGTATCAGATTTCGTTTACCGTACCAAATTAGTTCTAAGAAAATGTGCAAGTATGTGTATTCGGCATCTACATGTATAGTAACCAATCAATCAATCAATAATGTATCTATTTGTAATGTAAAATCAGTAACATTATTATAAAATTTAGTGCATGACTGCTTGCCTATATTAAAGGCCTTTATTGTAAGGAATTCTTATACAGTGACATGTAAAATCATGAATTGGTCGGGTAATGATGGTTTGGCTAACAAGCTTGAACAATACTATAATATGAAATTTGTTGCAGTTCAACTCCTACAGTCCAATTTGTCTACTCTGTACGCCAAGTATGGGACTAACTCTTAAAGTATTGTTTGTCAGTGTTCCTCTAGCTACTGCTTCCTTCCTTGTTACTAGGCAATAGGAATGTATTAAAAGTACCATAACGAAGGTAAGTCACACTACGGCATAAACTTGTTTGTTGTTTATCATTTACTGCAAGTGCCAGGTCTCTCCTCTAGGCAACCGTTCATTAGTAGACGTGTGGCTAAGAAGCACAAATTGGTTTACACTTCGGCACTAAAAACAGGAAGGAGTTGGGTTATGATTTGCTTCCGGCTTGGATTATTTTGGCAATGTATTACATAACCTTAACTCAATAAAGACCCATTATTCTTTATTGGTGAATATAGTATTAAATTATGCACTACATCATTGTAATCTTAGAGCTCTAGTCCACTGAACTAAGTGATGAACTTCAAGCCTAAGCATTATTGGAGCAGCCCACGTTTCCTCGTACGCCCACTTCTTTAATCAATTTCTGCGTTATAAAAGGAGGCCGCTCCGCCGAACCAGCTCGTTTTAGAAACTAGAAAGCTTTATTTCTTCAACAAAACAAGTGGACCACTGTAACTAAAGAGAATGGGAGAGGCTACAAAGGTGTTCTTTACTCATCGCGTGTCTGGCAGTCCTGATGATAACCCAATGGAGAAATGGTACGATTGCATCAGGGACACCCTCCAGACCTGCAGTGTTGATGTGAGCTTGAAGAAAAAGAAGAAGAAGGCTGGTATGTTCCTTGCTTTAAAGTCTTTGTTAAGCACAATCACTCCATTTTAATTTCCCATTTATTAGATCGTGTTGGTTTGGCTGCTGATCAAATTTACTATGGAGAGTTGGAAAGCCTTGGATCTGCTAATTGTAAGACTTTCAATCATCATGATTTGCCAATATTGTATGTAACTGCAGGTCTTGTTGCTGATGTGACCTATCCATCTCTTGGTGTTGGCTATGAGATCAGCTTTGCTCAAAACAAAGGCTACAAAGTTGTTTGTCTCTTCCATAAGACAGATGGCCGTGGTAAGTTGGACGACTGCTATAGCTTGCATGGGCATGCATACAGAAAATACATGCAGCTGTGTAAAAAATGTAAAACATTAAAGGGCTCAGCCCCCGAGCCACTCTATTTTGTTGTGCTGTGAGACATACAGGCAGACCGCACATGAGCAGGAAAGCATTAGTGAACATGTGTACATATATATATACACAATTAATTCTTGATGTAATTATCTTGCTTAGAAATATAAGTTTTACCATCAGTTCATCATATTGTGCAGCAATTAAAGTTATTTTGCTTATAGCATTAAATAATGAAGATAGACTTATTTAACTTTAATCATAGTTAGACAACTACACATACATGCATACATACAGACGTTTTCTCATCTTAGTGGGCTTTGCATGCCCAATTAATTAAAGTTCAATTGCTTCAATGAGTAGCTAGATGACATGATCTATAAACTTTATTTTTCTTGCAGATGTTGATAATCTTTCTCCAATGATCCGTGGTGCCACTGGTCCTGGTTTTTATGTTGAGTCTTACGAGACTGAGGAAGATCTGAAGAAGATCCTTCAATCTCACCTTGTCTGAAGATAAACAAGAGATCAAAAAGAAGGACACTGAGAATCTACAATAATATTATTATTAATGCATGCTATAGAACAGATTTCACAAAAATTATAATAGTATATTACATATAGCTTGTTGATGCTTAGCTCAGTTTAAAAGTAGCTATAAATCTTTTAAATGCGTCAAATTTTTTAACATTGTCTTGTGCCAGTGTGCAGTGTCTGTAATGCCGATGATAAATCCCTAGATTTAGAGGGATCATAACAGTAACACTGTCACATGTATTTTTATAAAAATTTACTCATGATAATAAATTAAACCATGATTACATGGAAAAATAGAATTTTAATTATTATGTGGGGGTGTGTCTGTACTGTACTGTGTCACTTGAAATCAAAATGGCGACTCCGAGTCCTGATTTTTTGAGAACAGACCCTGTTAATGTTGAGAGCTCCCACCCTCTAGAAGAGCAGCATTCTCAAAAATTTACACAGGATCCCGTTGGGGTACGTTGGACACATGTTTGTGGCGTATAATCTGTATGGGCTCGGTTATCATGTATGGGCTCGGTTATCATGTGCGTGGGTGGGACTACATGACCTATTATGCTATGGGCTAAGCGTAAACTTACTTTAATGTACATTATAATTATGTAGGTTGAGTCTACGGATGAGCAACTGAATGAAGAAAATGGATTTGGCGTTTACACAAAAGCTGAGAAGAGTGGCGCTCATAATGAATCACATACTGTCATCCAGTTACAGAAGATGAAGTCTGTCCTACAAAACATGGTTTCGGGTATGGACTACTTAGAGCTTTATTCAGAAAAATCCGACATTAGTTGCACGATGAATAGATTGATCTACGATGAGAACCCTATGTCTCCTACTGAAGAGTCTCCCTCAAAGTCTTCCGACTCTCTTGATGACGAATCACAAACTAGCGATATAGAAGAAGCTATGGAATTTGAAAAGAAAACCATGGAAATCCCTAGAAGTAATGACTGCACTTATTTTATTACATGTACATGTAATTATTATTTTTTAAATAGGTCTTTCTGTAACAAAAGCACTGAAGTTAGATTTTCCATTTTTGCTTGATTTGGTGAAGACCAGTTCTGTTCCTGTGGTTATGTGTGTTGCTACTCTCACTGGCCTCTCTCCTAAAAGAAAAGCTGATTTATTTCAAGATTTCATAAAAATGGCTGTTCGTTTTAGAAATTGTGAATCGGAAACAGCAAAGCAATATTATGCCAGCTTGCAGGAAAGGTGTTCAAAGGAGGGCCTGTCTTCTTTTAATTTCAATATTTTGGGCAAGTCTCCTTTCAATGATCTCATGTGGTTGTTGGGCACTAAACGGTCAAGTATCAGCCTCTGCTTTTTGTGCTGTCTCCTTCAAGCTCTGAAGCTGAGAGATATTCCAATCGAATCATTGGACATCGCTGAAAATGAAGCAGATGTTAATAAAGAGGATCTGAGGCAGAACAAGCATGGGGAGTGGCTCTTCTATGAAGTAACAAAGAGACTGAAGGCTCTTAAGAAACATCAGGAAAAATTGGATCTCCTTACACCAGGTGTGACGTTCCTCACCGTCTTCAATATTGGCCCCAGCAAAGCAGCACATAATTTCCTCCCGTTTCTTGGCCAGCATTGCAAAAGGTTACTTCCCTTATTCTTTGCTTCAACAGCAGATTGTACCGAATTGTGTAAGCCGCTGAAGCCTGAGGCTTATGATGAGTATAAATCGTCCGTCAATCATTTGCTTAATGCCTACGTGCCAAGACGGAAGTTTCTTAATCATTTTGTGAGATTTCATTCAAGGGAAAATTCAGGGCAACCGGTCTTTATGCGCCAACCATCGTATAGTCAAGAATCAAAATTCAATAGTCTCAAGGAAATTTTTGAGGAACAAGGCTTTGACGCTAATTTCAAAGATATCGATCTCTCCAATATGAAACAAACCAAGGAAATTCTTGAGAGAATGGTTATCAAAAATATGAGCAAATATGTTACTGGTCTACCTGTAAGGTGGGTTTTTCTGCGCAGCTTTCTCCAGGCTTTAAACATATCACTTATAACTAGAAGTGATATCAGCAAATTGGCCACTTCATGTGGTGCTGGTATAGATTCCAGTGAAGTTGAAGCATTTCTGACCACCTTCACAAGCTTTGCCAGTCTCCTTTACATCCCCTCCTACACTGATATTGTCCTGCTAGATATTGAGAGATTCACTGATTGCCTCGACAAGGTCTTTGACTGTGGCCATTCTCTGCTCGATAAAGCAAATTTGTTTGGATTCATTACTGAAGGAGCCATTGATAAGTTAGCAAAGGATGAGGAGTTAGACCCCAAAATGTTTAAGTCACTCTTGAAGTCTTTTCGTTTTGCTGTTCCAGTTTGCACATCAAAAGTGAAGAGCAACAATATTTTCTTTATTGAAGCAGATTGTTCGTTCTACATTCCCAGCATGCGTCCTACAAAAGCAACCAATGGCCCTCAGTTTCATTCTCTCTACCTCCAGTACACATCATGTGTGCCCGGTAATATTCAAGTTTATTTGGTTCGTCATTTCCTCAAGTACAGCAATTGCTCTCTTGTCCCTTACCTACACATCAATGCTTCAGTCATCAGGATACATCATAGTAAAGAGAAGCACATTGATGTTACCATAATTGATCACAAAGATATCGTGGAGCTGAGATTGGAACATGGTCGTTCAACTGAAGCATACAAAACAGCTTTCCCATTGGTAGTTAAAGCATGCACTGCTGCCATGGAAGATGTCAAGAAGTCGGTCGATGATTTAGAGTATTATTTTTTGCTGCGCTGTACTGAGAGTAATGATCACCAGTTCATCTATCACAGAATGACAAATGATGGGGAGACTTCATGTGAAAGTTGCAGTAAAGTTGAAGCTAGTGATTCTTATCCCATTTCCTTGCGGGAATATTGGAAGTCGTCTGTTTCTAAAATAGTAATAGCATTTTCAGAGTCTTCTTTTATAATTTACATTTATTCATAGGCTATTGAAAGTGATGGAAAAGAATTAGAAATAACGAAAGGTATTTATGATCTTATGGTAGTTCCTGTCATGGTATAATGGCAGTTATCATTATCAATGTTTGCTCCCAATATATATATATATATATATATAACTTATGAAAATACACAATGCTGTTATTTGTGAAACTGAATATTAACGATGTCTTTGCAGATTCCTTGGAGCTGGCTAGTCTTGCAGTGAAGCTATCACAAGAGTTTGTAGATGATGAGAGTCAGTTGAGTCTGTTGAGACGGTTAAAAGTAGAACGAGAAGTTTGGGATGGTATCAAAGTCAAGACTGGTGGTGGGTGGATGGCATTTGCAATGTTGCTTGATCAGTGGATAAAGAAGCACAAAAAGTCAAAGGATGAGCTTCTGGAAGAGCTCCATATGTTTTTATAATTATTTAAATAATTCTTTTTAAATATTTATATTTTGTAACAAGAGCAGAGTACATCAGTAATTATCAGTTATTTGCAATGGATATTATACATACTTGCCATACTTGCAAATAACTTCACACAAATTTTAATAGTATATTATAGTTTGTTGCTGTTAATGCATAAAATTTTGTAGCATTTTTTGCAGTGTCTGTAATGTCATTAAAAAATCCTTAGATATAGAGGGATAATAAGACATGTATGTTTTAGCTTTTATCATGATGATACATGAATAATTGAAATTTAAAAATTTTGTATGGGGTGTGCCACTATTATGATTAGTGACACACCCCTATATAAATTAATTAAGATGGGTGAGTCCTGATTCTGTGAGAGCACCAGATCCTGCTAATGTTGAGAGCCCTCAGCCTCTAGAAGTGCTGCTTTCTCCTTCATTTGCAAAGGATCCCGATAGGGTACGTTAGACACATGCATGTTTGTGGCAGACTAACCCTGTCAAAAAGACTAATGATCATATGCGTGGGTGGGACTATATGCCCCAACTGAGCTTGACCCAAGAAAAAGCTGGAATAACTTTTCGTAGGAATGTGGGATAAGGATAAAACTTTCACAGGTTCTTATTTGCCCAATGCCATCATAGGATCTCAGGTCTTATGTCTCTCAGCCCTTGGGAACCCTGAGAACTTCACTGGGCTCTCCCTATAAACCCAATAGTTATACCGGTAGTTTACCATGCCTAAGAATGGCCGGAACATGTGGTTTCGAGCTCAAACCCAAACAAACTAATAATTCTTGTAAAAGCTAACAGAGCAAGATATTCTGATAATGAAGACCAGTTGACTCCTATCAGCAGCTATTGTACTGCTTATCACAAAAAACAAGACCCATTTTAAAGTGAAATACAGGTCAACCACGAAGCTGTAAAATATCAGCCTTGCTTTTATGAATATTGTTATAATATGTCACTAATGGCATCATGGCTACATTTTTTCATATTCCACACAGCTGCTTCCATGCACAGTTCCTGTAGTTCCACTTCCAGTCAAACTCAGTTGTAATATACATGTAGTATACATGACCTTATCCATAGGCTATGAGCTAAGAATATATATACATGTAATTCTGTAGGTTGAGCCTCGGGATGAGCAACTAAATGAAGAAAATAATATGGCATTTACATGGAAGCTGAGGAGAATGATGTAACTGATGTTCGTAACGAATCATCGCATACTGTCTTCCAGTTACAAAAGATGAAGTCTGTGCCAAAGGACATGGTCCCTGGCATGGACTGCTTAGAGCATTGTTCAGTAAAATCCGATATTAGTTGCACAATGAATAGATTGATTTATGATGAGAATCCTATTCCTTCTACTGCTACTACGGAGTCTCCCCCAAAGTCTTTCGACCTACCGGATCATGAATCCCAAACTAGTGATATAGAGGAAGCTGCAGAACTACATGAAGATGTCCTTGTTGTCCCAAAAGGTAAAAATTTATGCTGTAATTGTTCTATATTCACATTGTGCATCTCACAAAGTCAAATCATAATGACATTATACATTGGCCTTATGCCATGCCTTAACCATGATTTTTTATGTATAGGCCCTTCTTCATCAAAAGAAAAAGCACTAGATTTTCTGTATATGCTTGATCTGGTCAAGACAAGGTCTGTTCCTGTATTTATGTGCACTGCCACTCTTGTTGGCCTCTCTACTCAAGAGAAATCAGCTTTATTTCAAGACTTCATCAAGACTGCTGTTAGATTTAGGGACAGCAAATCAGGTTTGGCCTGTCAGTATCATGCAAGGTTGCAAAAAAGGTGTTCAAAGAAGGGCCTATCGTCTTTTAATTTCAATATTTTGGGCAAGTCTCCTTTTAATGATTTCATGTGGTTGTTGGGCACTAAGCGTTCAAGTATTAGCCTCTGCTTTTTATGCTGTCTCATTCAATCTCTGAAGCTAAGAGATATCCCGATCAAATTTTTGCATATTGCTGAAAATAAAGCTGATTTTAATGAAGAAGAGCTAAAGCAGAACAAGCATGGGGAGTGGCTCTTTTATGAAGTAACATAGAGACTGAAGGCTCTCAAAAATCACGAGGAAAAACTGGATCTTCTTACACCAGGTGTTAACTTCCTTCACGTCTTCAATATTGGCCCCAGCAAAGCAGCACTAAGTTTCCTTCCATTTCTTGGCCAGTATTGCAAAAGATCACTGCCATTATTTTTTTCGTCTGGGAAAGATTCATCTAATCTAGATACACCACTGGAGCCTGAGCTTTATGATACATGTGGAGATGATACACCACTCAATCACCTCTTAAATGCCTATGTAACAAGGAGGAAGCATATTCATCACTTGATGAGACATCAGTCGCATAAAAGCTTTGAGATGCCACCTGTACTGGTTCGCTTGCCTTCGTGCAGTGAATCAAAATTTGATAATTTCAAGAAAATTTTTGGAAAATATCGCCTTAATCCTATTGAGAAAGACATCAACTTATCAGATATGAAAGTAACCAAAAAAATACTTGAAGAAGTGGTTTATGAAAATACCAGCAAATATTGTGCAGGCCTACCTGTAAGGTGGTTTTTTTCTACGCAGCTTTCTCCAGGCTTTAAATGTATCACTTATGACTAGAAGTGATATTAGCCAATTGGCCACTTCATGTGGTGCTGGTATAGATTCCAGTGAAGTTGAAGCATTCCTAACCACCTTCACAAGCTTTGCCAGTCTCCTCTACATCCCCTCCTACACTGATATTGTCCTGCTCGATATTGAGAGATTCACTGATTGCCTCGACAAGGTCTTTGATTGTGGCCAATCTCTTGATAAAGCAAGTTCCGATGGATTCATTACTAAAGGAGCCATTGATAAGTTAGCAAATGATGAGAAGTTAGACCCCGAAATGTTCAAGTCACTCTTGAAGTCTTTCCGTTTTGCTGTTCCAGTTCGCACATCAAGAGTAAAGAGTGATAGTTTCTCTATTGAAGCTGATTGTTCGTACTACATTCCCAGCATGCGTCCTACAAAAGCAACCAATAGTCCTCAGCCTCATTCTCTCTACCTCCAATACACATCATGTGTACCTGGTGATATTCAAGTTCTTTTGGTTCGTCATTTCTTCAAGTACAGCAATTGCTCTCTTATTCCTTGCCCACACATCAATGCCTCAGTTATCAGGGTAGACTACAATAAAAAGAAGCACGTTGATGTTACCATAATCGACCATAAAGATATTGTGGAGCTGAGATTGGGAAATGGTCGTTCAACTGAAGCATGCAAAACGGCTTTTCCTCTTGTAATTAAAGCATGCACTGCTGCCATGGAAGATGTCAAGAAGTCGGTCGATGATTTGGAGTATGGCTTTTTCCTGTGCTGTACTGAGAGTGATAAATCTACTCACCAGTTCATTTATCACCAAATAGATTAAGATGCAACAAGTTCTACATGCAGTCAGTGCAGTAGTGATGCTAATGCTACTGTATTGAGAGAAGATTGGAAGTCTGCTGTTTTTAGAATGGTATGTATTTTGGAGACTTTTTTATATGTACAATCTTTTTTTATTTTATGTAGCATATTGAGAGAGATGGAAAAAAAGAAATTGAAAAAGGTGTTGTTATGTTGTTACTGTAATTATTATGTTGTGATACATTTCTTATTTGCATGGTAGTTGATAGCTGGCCTACATTACAATTGTAATTTTAATTAGAGGGTCAATTAGAATTACATGTATTTAAGTGTAGTTGAGGCTTAAGCCACACAGAATGTAATTGAAATTTTTATCAAAATTGAATTGTTGTAGTGTACTGACAACCAATTCAATACAAACGCAGCGAAATTTTTCTCAATCTACATTTTACCTTAGCTAGTAGCCACTTCATGTTATTTGTATAGTGTGTGGAAAGGCACCGCCACGAGTTTATATAGTGGAGACCACAGAAGGGCGGGTAGCTAGAAGTGTCATCTAACTGCCAATACTACACTACAGTACCTTTGCCTTTCATACACCCACATACTATAGTACAAACCAGACAAACTACAGTTACTGGCTATATACACAGGAGGATGTTACTTGATTGTATAGAAGCCTCTTCTCTTGCCTAGGGCTCTAATCATGCAACTAACATCCTCAGTATCTAAGCAATTAGCATCCTCCTGTATATATCCAGTAACTCTCAAAGTCTGTAGTCTATCTATGTACACTGTACATATGTATGTACACAGGGGCATAGGCAGGATTTTTGAAAAGGGGGGCAAATTATGCAGCGCGTGAAGTGCGCCACAAAATTTTACAAAGCTACACCCTTTTAGGGCGTGCCCACACCTATTTTTTAATATGGTGGACTTCTAGAAAGATCATAGGCAACGTTAAATACCTTTTCAGCTTTATAATGGCATCATAGAAGGATTGATTTAGCCTTTTTCTTTCATATGTAATTTGTAGAACAGCTTTTCCTTCCAAAAGTAGCTTATTATTTTGTTACTTCTGAATTTTGATTTAAAAAAAGGGGGGACATTTGCCCCCCTTGCCCCCCTGGCTATGTCCCTGGTACATGTAGATAAAAGTGTGACAATCAGGATTCCCCCCCCCCCCCTGAGAGATTTCTCAGTTTGGTGCCAGCTCATGAGGTGCTGTTTAGCTTGCTCAGTAGAACTTTGTAGAAAACCCTGATCCATGGTAATTTGTCAAAAATTGCTACAAAAAATTTTCTATTTTCACTCTTGATAATACAGATACATGTTTCGATGTTGTACATCTAGTAATTCTAGTTTCAGCTGATTGTGATAAATTTTGGAATTTTTTATTAATTTTAAAATTTGCTAAAAAAATCTGGCTTGAGACCGTGTATTATTATAGCACATAATGTCAGGCCAAATTTCATCAAAAATTGCAAAAAGAGAATTCCCTATTTTATATTTTTTTCTGACACATATACATGTTCTGATGTTGTATATCAAGTTTGAGCTGATTCTAATCCAAAATGGAATTTTTATACTTATGCCTATCAAAGGACTATAATTATTATGTACATGCTTTTACGATAATTATAATTTAATGTATAACTGTCTTTTATAGATTGTTTTGAGGCCTCTGAGTTAGCTGACCTTGCAGTAAATTTGTCAGAAGAGTGTGTGGATGAGAAGAGCCAGGGAGACCTGTTGAATGTATTGCAAATAAAAAAGAAAGTTTGGGATAATATAAAAGTGAAGAAAAATGGATGGGCAGCATTCCTGGCATTGCTGATGCACTGGATAGAGAACAACAAAGGATCAAAGACTGAGCTTGAAGTTCAACTTAAAAGATAATATTTTAATAATAATTATATTTAATAACTTATGCTAGTTGATAGATTATATTTTATAATAATAGGTATTTATAATAATAATTAAAAATTTTTTATTTTATGTTTTTATTCCATGATTAATTTTATTCGTGTGCTGTGATCAATTTTAAACTTTGTTTGGATATCAAGTGGAGGCGTGGAAATAAATTAATTTAAAATTAAAATTTTAACCTCTGAAAACAAGAACGATGACAGACAGTGGTAAGTTGGATTTTTACACTTATAATCAGTTAATCTGTGCTATAATAGAGAAAGGTTATCTAACGGAAGCAGAACCAGTTGCAATCATTCCTGCCGATGATGAGGGTGGCTCTATATTCCTTACTGGAGGCGGTGGGGAGTATGTTTACCAGGAAACAAGTGATTTTGATGAAGTTGTTGAGGATATACCTGAATCACTTCATATCAGACCACTTAGTAGGTTTTGTAAAACTGTAGATGAATTAACAGAGTTGATTAGATTTGTTGTTTCTCTTTACAAACCCGGGCCATTGACAGACTCCCTCACTGAAACTTACTTAATACACTATAGCTTCAAAATTAGAGGTGGGCGATACGATACCAAAGTACTCATATATCCGATACCAGGCCTCCGATACCAAGTACTCGATACCAAATCCTGGTATCGAGTAGTGAGTAACCACGCCCCACCACACCTATTTTATTACGTCATAATTATGCCTACACCCCTTAATAATTACAAAATGGCGGCTTATTTCTTTTCATTTTATTAATAACTAATTATAACTTAATTGCGCATGCGCAGTAGCTGACTACTCATTCACTACTCGATACTGAGACTCAGACTACTTGGTATCGGTATCGATTCAAAATTTCTGGTATCGCCCACCTCTATTCAAAATTTGTCATTAGACCACCCAGAGTGAGAATTGCTTGCGTGGGAAGACTGTTACGGTTGTAAGGCGTGGTTTAGAATGAAATAAATTCCAGCCACCATTTTGGTTGGCAACTTTCAATGGAGAACAAATGGGCCGACATAAAAACAAACCTGTATTAAGATTTCTGGAACGAATTTGACCGAATTTTTTCAGGAGAAGCTCAATGGTAGCTATTCTTTCTTATAACAAGCACTTTTTAGCTATTGATAGAGCTACAGCAGGTAAGTGAGGCATTTTCTTTGTGCCTCCATTGACTTCCTTAACAAACTTGCCAACCAAAATGGCAGCCAATTATGACGTGTGGGCAGACCGTATATAAAATTAATGAAATTCATAGCTTTTGCAATTCTCACTCTGGGTGGTCTATAATTATCATGTCTCTGCAATAACTAAAAATTTAGATGTAGCCACTAACAAAATTAGTCTCACCCATTAAAGAATTGACCTATAAATCATAGAATTCTTGTCAGCTTAGCCATATGGGACCCAATATTATATTTGGCACACAGCTATAATTTTGGTAAAAATTAGGCCATGCATAACTTATGGCAAGTATAGGTTTGGAGGTTTTTACAGTAATTATAATAGACTATTGAGTACGTAATGAAAATTGAATAGGCTACATTATTTTTACATGTGTTTTTTAAAATAGATGAAAAGATTTCTCATGAAGCGTTTCTGAATATCCTTCTCAACGAAATGGTCCCAGTTGTAACAGGTCTTATAGCAGTTATGGGTTTACCTAGTTCTGGAAAAACGACCGTTTTGGAATCAGTTCTCAGGCAAAAAATAGAATTGAAGCCAGATGCAAATGTAGGATTTGACTATTATTTAAACAGAAAGAGAGATGAGAAGTGTTTGTCGATATATGATTTATGTGCCCTTGGCAGTTCACAGCATAACATGTACGCCTGGTCCTTTGCCACCAACCGTTTTGGGGCAATTTATTCGATTCTTAGCCATCTTGTTCGCCGGAATCCATGTATAGCAGATATTGAGTTTGAAACAACCTGTCAATCACCGAAATATGTCACAGACATGGATAAGCACGTTCGATGGCTGCTGACCAGGACCCAAGAATTAATAAAGAGTATTCAAAATGATCCTGGCAAGGTGACCCTTATTCACGATGGAGTCTCACTTATTAACGTAATCGACGTTGGTGTCAATAAGGCTCTCTACCCATTCCTATCTATGATGTTGCTGCATTGCCACAGACATATTCGTCTTGCTTTCTTCTCACTGGATAGAGATGTACCTAATCTTGAAGAGAAACCCAATCTGCCTCATGACCTTTATGGAAAAAGAAGGGATGATGTATTAGTTATGAGACATAGATCACGACTTACGTATCTCCTTCATTTTGCTACGGTTGGTTACACTCAGCAGCAGCGCAATCAGGAAGATGTACAGAATGCCACTGTTATGGTTGCAACAAGGAATGAATCGGCTACAGATTCCAAGATAGTGGCTGAAGCCAAAGAAAAAATCTCTCAACAAGCACAATCACGAGGCGTAGACCAGTTCCTAAAAAACTGGCTAGAAGTCAATGTCAATAATGATCAATCCATAAAGGAGCTTGGAGAGAAGATAGAAGACCTCATCAAATACAAGTACAAGCAGCGTACCCTACTCCTTCCCCTCAGATGGATAGTCCTGAGGAGTCTAGTGGTATCATTTAATAGTAGAGGAACAAAATTTATGATTGTGCGTAGGAGTTTCATTATACACAGTGCCAAAGAGCTGAATATGAAAGAGACAGAGGTTGATGAATTTCTAAAAACATTCACAGATTTTGGCAGCATTCTCTACATGCCTCAGTATGACAGTATTAAAGATATTGTCATTGTCAATATTTGGGAGTTCACTCAGTACCTAAACAAGCTTTATTATCCTCAGGAAGGAGAACCGTATGCTTCCAATTTGCTGAAGTATGGAATCATATCAGAGTCATCCGTTAAAAAAATTTTTTGCAAACATCCTGATAGTGCTGAAGATTTTATGACAGTTCTTACAACAATTGCAATGGCCTCTAAAATTGAAAGTGGTCGGTCTATCCTCATTGATGATCACCAGCAACGTAATGAGGTACACTATTACTTACCATTAGCAAGAACGCATGAAGAATATAACCCACCAGACAAAGAGAATGATTATGCTTTCATTGAGATAGAGAGTGTCAACTTCCCAGCCAATGTACAAGCTTGCATTAGCTATGCCATCATGGATAACAACAAAGATGCTGCTCTTATTGCTACAGAACACAGCAACGTCTCACGATTTCTATTCCAATCTGAGAGTGGCCCTCCTATTACAATAGAGATGATATACAAAGGAAGCAAAACAAGATTAAGAATACTGAACAGCTCTAGTGACACATCTCTAGCAACCGTAGTTGAAGCATGCAAAAAAGTGATCACTGCTTCATGTCGATGTCTTCAAAGGAAAATAAATACAATACGCGACCTCAAATATAGTTTTGCTGTTCCTTGCTGTAAATCTCCTGATGATAAATGTCATTATCTGTACTATAAGCACAACCCTGAATTCTGTGATGCCTGTCCTGCTGAGAATAATTTTAGATTATACTGGAGTTCAGCAGCAAAACAGGTAGAAAAAGAATGTTATCATATTAAATGTAATTGTAAATTTGTAGTAAAATGTGTTGTATTATTTATTTTTTTCTTGCAGTGTAAATTGCTAGAGAAAGATAGTGAAGCAAGAATGGATAGAGGTGTGTTTTAATTGAATTGCTGCCCAATAAACTGATTTACACCTTTTTTAGATAATCTACTGAAATCTCAGGATATTTCTAGTCTTATTACAGATGATTATGATTTTATTGCTTTAAAAAGAGCTCTGAACATAGTTGATGATAGTGGTCTATTGCCTGAAGTGAGTAGTCCAGAGGGCAAAAAGAAGGCTCTGATGTTGATGCTGCTATTGTGGGAGAAACAAACAGACCAGCCTACTAAACATGCCCTCTTGAATTTACTGAACACAGATGGGTGCTATAGTATTGCTAGGAAACTTGAAATTCTCATCACCGAACTTAATTTAAATTAATAGAATTGAACATACACTCACTAAATCTTGTATTTTTGAATTTTTTTAGATCATTCTTTTAATGCATTGTACTCAATCTTAGAATTTGCATGTAATTATTATTCTTTGCAACTATAGTAAGCAGGGTAATTGCAAATATTGAATCAGTTTTATATGCCAATCCTGCATGACTAAGACCTGATCATGTTATATGACGGGACTTCGTATGTTGTCTAGGAAATTGGAGCTGATTCCGACCAAAATTAGATTTTTTTACAAGTAGCTCAAAAAAATCTGGCCAAAGACCCTTTACTAGACATTGGCCAAAACTTTGTTTAAAAATGATTAAGACAGATTTCTTTATTTTTATTACATTTGTGATGTATACACATGTACTTGTGTTGTGTGGAGAGTTTGACTTGATTTTGACTGAGATTAGAATTCTTGTGAATTTTTAATTTGCTCAAAAATGGTGCCAATGACTCTGTACAATAGACATTGGAAAAATTTTGTTGCAAATGACTAGGTGACTAGGTGAGAATTCTCCATTTTTATTCATTGTTTGATGCATATACATGTACTTATGTTGTGTAGAATGTTTGAGCTGATTCTGATCACACAAGTGGATTTTTTAATTTTAAAGTTACTAAAAAGGGTCAAAATATCTATGCTACAGTACAAGGCTGGTGGCTGTTCATTATTAGATTTGAACTAATTACAATCAAAATTAGATTTTTATGAATGATTATTAAAGTTGCTCAAAAATCTGGCCTGAGACTGTGTACATACATGTATATATGCATGTGCTATAATAGTACACAGAAAGTTCAGTCAAATTTTGTCAGTAAATAGCTGGGAGAAATTTTTTACTTTTATAATTGTTTGACCATTGATATGTCCATATTTATGGTTTGACATGTTCTGACGTTGTATATATACAGTGTATTTAGCTTGAGTTGACCTCGATGATCCAAATTTAATTTTTATTGCTTAAGTACTTGTGCATGCCAAAAGAAAATATTTTACGTACATGCAACAATATTATTATTTATAATTTTATAGGTTGTTTTGAGGCTTCCAAGTTAGCCAATCTTGTGGTTAAGTTGTCAGCCATGGTGTATGAGAAGAGCCAATTAAAGCTGTTGAATGTATTGCATGCAAATAAAACAAAAAGTTTGGGATGGTAGCATAAAAGTGAAGAATAATGAGTGGACAGCATTCTAATCAGTGTTGCTTTATAGAGGTTCTGCGCGAGTCAATTAATTGATGCACTTCCTTGACAACCGTTGCTATCCGCCATGTTGGGTGTCTGAGAGCGCGATAATTAGCATGTGGGTGTAGCGCTACAATGGTTCTTTTATCAGAATATGCAGCTAGCTTACCTCCTGCTTGTAATTAATTGCTCCACACTTGTGCTTTTGCTTGCAAGTCACTGGGGTTTTCAATGAACACTTCCGTGCAATCTACTATAAGTGCACAGTTCTTAAAAAATTTCCTAAATGAATACGGAATGGTTGATCGTAGTACTTCCCTCTCAGGCCACTTAATTAAGGGCTTGGTTTTTATGTACATTATTTCTAAAATTCTATTGAAATTCCTGGAAACTGTGGAAGAGGCTATGCTATATCTCTGAGCTAAATCTTCATCTTCTAAGTGCAGTCTCAATTTCATCAAAAACATGATAACCATGTGAAACTGAGACAACTTTATCCCACGAGGCAATGCAGCCTGAATTAAATTAAACAAGGCCATGAACACAGACCACTCATGTAAACCTATAATTACTAGTAATAATTTCATGCAACTATGCATTTGTTTACCAGTGTAGAATTTCAGTAACTTCTGATCATTCTGTAATACATTTTCACTTAGACGAATTTTTTCTAAGTCTTCTTGAGCCTCCTTTCCTTCTCTCAGTATTCTCTCCATCATCATTCCAGTAATATCTGTCTGACATCCTGCATCTCTTGTTTCTAGCACTGGTTCAGTTTGGCATTCACACTCAGCACTGGCTC